CCATCCCAGTGATTCCAGCTCTGTCCTTGCTGGATAAAGATGGTTTAATTAATGCCAGATCATTTCTGCAATGTCCCCCTATTAACCTCCATAGCAGCCTAAATAATAACTCATTAAAGGCATTTGAAGCTGGCAGGAACAGGACAGTTTACCAGCAAACCCTCTGCTCTTTGGCTCTAAACTGGGTTAATCTGTCATCTCTCCTTGCAGGGTCCCTCATTACTCATTAAATACCTGTTCCAGGCCAGCCTGGAGCTGTTCCTTCGCCTTTCATAGTGCTAAAGCCACCAAAACCAAGGGACGATGTAGAGAGGAGATGAATGAGAGCAGGTCAGTGGGCTAAGAGCGAGCAATGCAGAGCTGCAGGCAGGAGGATGCGTGGGCAAGGGTTCAGTGATGGGGAGAAGAGCCATGCCAGCTCAGCAGAAAGACGTTTGCTGTCCTACCCCACTCAGGCTCCATGGACGTCCATCAAACCCCAGCCATGGCCCTGAGAAGCCACTGCAAAGCTCCTGACTTGGCACATAGAGAAGCAGGAGGCTCTGGGGTGCCTGATTGTGCATCTAGGGGAGATGTACCAGGGTCAGGTTCATCTGCGATCCCAGGCACAGCTATGGGTTGGGCAGAGAAGGGATTCAGAGCAGCCCTGAGGAGCAGTGCTTGGGGTGCTGGGTGAGGAGAAGCTCCCCATGACCCAGCTTCAGGGAGTGCTTGAGCCCAGAACCCCCCCATGTGCTGGGTGCACCCCCAGAGCGTGAGCAGCAGCTCAGGGAGGGGATCCTGCCCCTCTGCTGTGCTCTGGGGAGACCCCCCCTGCAGCCCTGATCCAGCTCTGGGGCAGCAGCACAAGAGGGACGTGGAGCTGTTGGAGCGAGGCCAGAGGAGGCCATGGAGATGCTGCGAGGGCTGGAGCAGCTCTGCTCTGGAGCCAGGCTGAGAGAGCTGGGCTGGGGCAGCCTGGAGAAGAGAAGGCTCCTGAAGGGGAGACCTTAGAGCAGCTCCAGTGCCTAAAGGGGCTGCAGGAAAGCTGGAGAGGGGCTTGGGACAAGGGCCTGTAGGGACAGGCCAAGGGGAATGGCTTGAACCTGCCCGAGGGGAGACTGAGCTGAGCTCTTAGGCAGAAGCTCTTCCCTGTGAGGGTGCTGAGGCGCTGGCACAGGGTGCCCAGAGAAGCTGTGGCTGCCCCATCCCTGGCAGTGCTCAAGGCCAGGTTGGACACAGGGGCTTGGAGCAAGCTGCTCCAGTGGAAGGGGTCCCTGCCCATGGCAGGGGTTGGAGCTGGAGGAGCTTTAAGGTCGCATCCAACCCAAACCAGTCTATGACTCTAGGATTCTATGTGCCTGTCTCTGGGTGTCTCCATGGGCACCTCGAGGGGCTCTGCACACAGAATGGGAGCAGCTCCGTCACCTTTGTCCTCATGGCCGGAGGCAGGAGCTTGTTTGCGAGCAAGGAGCTCGCTGGGCACTCGATGTCCTGGCCAAAAGGGCCGTGCTCAGCATTTCTGGCCACCGGATGGGACAATCAAGGTCATCGTCTCCCCTCTGCTGAGAAGCCTTTCATAAGGGGCAGAGGACCCGGGCTGCAGCCTCCTGCCCCGCTGAGCCGGGGGCAGCGCAGGGCAGAGGCTGAGATTTGGGAGGTTGTGGGGTGCACGATGCTTTTAATTTGGGAGGCTTTGGCGAGGATTTAGCCGGCTCATTCTCACTGCGGTGACAAGGACCTGGTCACACGCATGGAAACAGAACCCCAGCGCTGACTTTGGCTCTTTCATAACCCGGTGCCCCATGGCACAAAGGGCACAGTGTTTCCCCAGGAATGAGGAATGGGTTAGAACGGGTCCCATGGGGATGTGGTGCTGGTGCTTGGGCTGTGTCACCCCTGAGCATCGCACTGGGACTTCCATTCCTGCCCCAAACTGCTACTGAGGCCCTCACAGGGGTTTTCTCTAGTGTTTTATAGGGATATCAAGCAGGGAGATGGTTTATAGGCACCTGCACAGCTCGTGCTCCAGATTTGTCTCCCTGTTTTCAAGGAGACCCCTGACCTCTGAGCACCCAAACACTACATAAACTGCAAGGAAATGGATTTGCTTGTACATATATGAGCTCATAGTACAAAGGGGGGCATAGAGGGATGAGATGTCCCATGGAGCCCTTACAGCCCCACACTGGGAGAGTGGGGCTGAAGAGCCCTTCCTGGTGCTGCCACAAGCCCCAGGCCTTTGCTCCAGGTATGGGATGGGGAGGAAAAAGGAAATAGGGAGGAGAAGGGATAAAATGCCCTATGCAGCACCCTGCTGCAGGAGGCAGGGGGGGAAGCAGGTGAGGGGCAGCCCCACTTGGAGGGACACCCCAAGGTAGGCAGGATTTGGGGCTTCAGAAGCCCAACTTTACCCCATCAGGGATAACGTGGGTGCTGTGTGGGATGGAGGAGGTGATTGAGCCTTTCGGGGTGATCTCTTTCTGTAACAGAGCTCCTCCTTAGCCCATGGGACAGCACTGACCAAATACTGGGGCTCCCCATAGGGCCGGGTGTGTTGTTCCCATCGGATCCACTTTGCCGGGTGAGCTGGGAGCTCCTGACTCTGTAATTAGGAGAGCTCAAACCTTGGGGTTGAGATACTCCCATGTCCCCTCGCTGAGCCCCTGGCACGGCCCCAGCGGCTCCAGGACGTGGAGATTGAACTAAAACCGAGTAGCAGCAGTGACCTGTGATGGGACGGCGCAGAGGCAGGAGGGGAGCCCCAGCTTGTGCCCCGCTCCATCCCCACCGAGCGGCTCCAGAAGCACCGATGCCCCCATCCTCAGGCCCCGCGCACGGCTGGAGGCCGTTACCCGGTCTCGGTACGCCCTCAGCTGGTCACAGAAAGTGCTGGGAAAGGGGAGGAAAAGATTCCATCTCGTTTTCCCCATTACATCTCACAGCACCCGGGGGTGCACAGATGTTGGCTGGACCCACGGGCCATGGGAACTGGGCCAGCAACCGGGGTAGGGGGTGCTGGTACCTAGGGGATGCTGGTTGCCAGGGATACCAGCATCCCCCGGGTACCAGGGGAGATGAAAAGGGAGTGAAAAGTGGCCCAGTTCTTAACATGAGACAGACGTGGAGCTGCAAGGTCAGGTTCAGAGGAGGCCATGGAGATGCTGCAAGGGCTGGAGCAGCTCTGCTCTGGAGCCAGGCTGAGAGAGCTGGGCTGGGGCAGCCTGGAGAAGAGAAGGCTCCTCAAGGGGAGACCTTAGAGCAGCTCCAGTGCCTAAAGGGGCTGCAGGAAAGCTGGAGAGGGGCTTGGGACAAGGGCCTGTAGGGACAGGCCAAGGTCCCTTCCAACACAAACCATTCTATTAATCAATCAATCCAATGTTTCACTAATGGTTTTATTTCATTAACATTGTGTGCAGCCTGACCTAAACACCTTGCTATTGGAAGTCAACACTCCCTGCCTTCTATCCTGCCTTGGGGGAGAGGTTTGGGTTGGAGAAGTACCTGGTTTCAAGAGGTAACTCTGTAATACTACAACCCCTCATGCAGATGCTCCAAGGACACATGTGGTTGCTGATGCATCACCCCCGCCACTGGAGGGTGATGAGATCTCAAGCAAACCCCAAAATAATCCTTGTACCTTGGTTTCCATGGGTCTTACCCTGAAGAACCCACCTGCATCTCCCACCCAGCTGGCACCAAATGGTCCCCATGCCCTGCATCCCCCACCTCCTCCTGCAATACAGGGCTCCCACCTCATTGTCCATGCTCCTATAAGGGCAGGACATGGGACCGCAGCTCTCAGCCTTGAGGTTATGCTTTTATCGCAATCCAGTTCCCAAGACAGGATGGGACAAGCCCACAGGGATTCAGAGTGAGGAGATGGGGGATTTTAACAGCAGCAGTTCCACCCAGGTTACACAGACCGTAAGAAACATAAGCATCAACTGCAGAAGAACAGCCCCATTGTCAGTGTAGGGAGCAGCAGAGGGGGCTTTGCTAATAATGAGCTTCGCAATCAGAGAGGGAAGATGAAACCATGCAGACAAGCTGGGGAGCAGTGTTTGTTGAGCTGGACAGGATTAAGCTAACACAGCATTAATGAAAGAGCTCAGAGATGGAGGAATAGGACTCCAAGAGGGCACGCTGGGGCCTTGTCGGTGCTTAACCCAGGATCTCACCTCCCGTCCTCCCAAACCCCACTTTTAATGATACACAAGACCCAAAGCAGACACGAAACTTTTAATGACTGCAGATGCAGATGGATGAAATGAGAAACGCAGGGATGAGGCACTGCACTGGGGAAGGCTGTTGGTGTTAAGTACAGAGGGATGGACGCAGGGGATGCCAATGGGCTTCCGTGCAGCTCTCCTGCAGTAACACACACTGCAGATCCATGGGCAGATGTATTTGCTTTCGATGGGCAAACCTCCAAGTGCCCCCTGGAACCCCCTGGAAAATGATGGTAAAGCCCCCCAAATAATCAAAAGAACAACCCATGAGGGGCTGAAGGCCCAGATCCAGGCTTGGACCCACAACCTGCGAGCAGGAGCATGGGATGAACCCAGGGCTGTGCCTCAGGTGTACCCTAACCTGTGCTATGGTGGTGACCCCACCTGCCCCCCCCAGGTTCACATCTCATCCACAGGCAGCTCCCTCTCCTGGCCATCAACTGCCTTTGTGCACAACAACCCAGAGGGACAGGCTTTGCTCCATGTCTTAACGCACAGAACTCACACAGAGACCACCCCAGGACTGCAGGAGGGTCTGGACAAGGCACTGGTGAGACAGGGAATGAAGAGTCAGGGCTCCGGGAATGGCTCTTTTGCCCTTTGGTGTCTTGCTCAGGTGCTGAGCACACAGCTCCTGAGGGGCAACAGGGACAGATATGGGGACACTCAGCTCTAACCCTACTGTTGGCTTCTTGGAGACCTTCTGGGTGGCTTTCTGACCTGGCATCATGTGCCTTGGTACCTGCTTGGCTCACACATACTCCCGTGCAGGAGAGCTTTGATCCTTGGAAAAGGCACCTCTGGTCTCCCTTTCACAGCAGCTGAGAAACCCCTCCTTCTGCTTGTGGGTACCCAGGAGGGCTCCACAGCTACAGCAAAGCAGTGACTGCTCCTCAGTCCCACTGGGGCACTCAGGGTGTTTTAAGGCACCAAGAGGACTCTTGAAAGCTGCAGAGCGCCCAGGACTCAAACAAGGTCACCAAGGTGATTGTGGCACTGAAGATGCTCTGAGGGCTGGAGCAGCTCTGCTCTGGAGCCAGGCTGAGAGAGCTGGGCTGGGGCAGCCTGGAGAAGAGAAGGCTCCTGAAGGGGAGACCTTAGAGCAGCTCCAGTGCCTAAAGGGGCTGCAGGAAACCTGGAGAGGGGCTTGGGACAAGGGCCTGGAGGGACAAAACGCTCTGTGATTCTATGACCAAACACAAGGCTCAGCAGAGAGCAAAGCAGGAAGGCAAAGGCAGAGGTGAGAGGAGCTCAGATGTCATAGAAATCCACATGGGCACCAGAGGGGAAGGTGTCCTCCTCCAGGAGAGTCACCAGCTTCTGGGCCGACACAGTGCAGTCTATCAGCTTCCTGCTCTCATGCAGGCTTTGGAAATGCTGCCGCATCTCAGGGTCTCCAGTCTTGGTCCGGGCCAAGAGCTGCATGTCCGTGTCCAGGGGACCTGGGGAAAGAGCAACCAAAAGCACATCCCAGGAGGAGAAAGCAAACCCTGGGGCTCACTTTCCCCTCTGTATCTGGCTTGGCTGCAGGAATCTTAACCACAAAGCCAGGAGAAAATGAATGACCGAGCACCCTCCTCACCTGGGGCATAGTTGAGCACACGGATATCCGGCTCCTCCAGTGCCAGCACCTGGAACATCATGTCCCGGGAAGCTTTCCCACTGCAGTACAGGGCCCAGCTCTTGAAGGGCTTCAGGGCACAGAGTGAGGAGATGTTCACCACGGTCCTGCTGGAGCCAGGCCTCTTCCCAAAGGCTTGCAGGGCATGGGAGGTGAGGCAAAGCGCCGAGGTGACGTTGAAGGCAAAGTAGCTGTTGATCTCATCCGGGTCAGTGAGATCCAGGAAGGATTTGGAGATGTCTCCCAGGGAGCCTAGGAAAGAAGGACACGGGAGTTAAGAGAAGCCTTCCAGTATCTGAAGGGGGCCTACAAGGATGCTGGAGAGGGGCTCTTCATCAGGGACTGCAGTGATAAGACAAGGGGTGATGGATTCAAACTGAAACAGGGGAAGTTTAGATTGGAGATAAGGCAGAAGTTCTTTACTGTGAGGTGGTGAGTCCCTGGCACAGGCTGCCCAGGGAAGCAGGGAATGCTCCATCCTTGGCAGTGTTCAAGGCCAGGCTGGACAGAGCCTTGGGAAATGCAGTGTAGGGTGAAGTGTCTCTGCCCGTGGCAAAGGGTTGGAACTGGATGATCTTAAGGTCCTTTCCAACCCAAGCCATTCTATGACTCTACAAGCAGCAGAGCACTGTGGTCCTGCCATCAAACCATCCCCGCTCTGCTCCCCTAGCTCCTTAATTTAATACAATAACAGGATCCAGGCAGGATGAAATCCCTCCTGCTCCTTCCCTTTTTTGCCTGTTCACTGGCACCCAAAGCACCGATCAAGCCTCGCTGTAGGACCAAGGGCGCGCTCGCCGGGGCTGAGCCCGGAAGGGAGGAAAGGGACGAGGGTTCCCGTCGTTACCGGCGTTGTTGATGAGGAGCAGGCGGCCGGGCGGCCCTGAGGGCAGCACCTCCCGCAGCGCGGCCATCGCCTGCCGCAGGCCCTGCTCGCAGCCCAGGTCGGCGGCCACGCACTCCACCCGCAGCCCCGCGGCGCTGCCCCGCAGCTCGGCCGCCACCTCGGCCAGCGGGGCCGCCGAGCGCGCCAGCAGCAGCAGCACCGAGCCCGAGCCCAAGCGCGGAGCCAGCAGCCGCGCCAGGCTGCGGCCGAAGCTGCGGGAAGCGCCGGTCAGAACGCAGGAGACCGGGCCCCAGTGCCCGGGACCGGGACCCGGACCCGATCCCGATCCCGATCCCGATTCCGATCCCGATTCCGATCCCGATCGCGACCCGGGCTCCATCCCTGCCCTGAGCGGAGGAGGCGCGGCAAAACACCCCACCACGTGACCCGCCCCATTCATGCCCTCTCTTCACCCGCAGCTTTGTGATTGGCCTCTCCGACAACGGCGGCACCGCCGCCAGCTCCGATTGGTCAGCGCTGTGGCCTCGGTCAGATGATGTACCGTGGGTGGGCGTGGTCAGAGTGGCGCGCAGGTCACCGGGTACCTCGAGGAGCACCAGCAGACGGCGATCGGGATCGGGATCGGGATCGGGATCGGGATCGGGATCGGGATCGGAATAGAGATCGCGATTGGGGTCGGGATTGGGATCGGGACCGGGACACCAGGGATCGCCGGCCCCTCCCTGGCCAATGACGCGGCTGCATTTGGATTTTTCTCCAATATTTGTTTTTTAATGCATTCTTTTCACTAAAGCTGTGGCTGCCCCATCCCTGGCAGTGTTCAAGGCCAGGTTGGACACAGGGGCTTGGAGCAAGCTGCTCCAGTGGAAGGGGTCCTTGCCCGTGGCAGGGGCTGGAGCTGGAGGAGCTTTAAGGTCCCTTCCAACACAAACAATGCTGTGATTATACAATACATTATATATAGAATTCCTACATTTTTTCCCCTTCCACTTGCAAGTGTCAGGTTTTGCCCCTGGATAAGCACAATCCTGGAGTGCAGCACAGGCTGGGATCTGCTGGGCTGGGAGCAACTCTGTAGAAAGGGACCTGTGGGTCCTGGGGTGCACAGGCTCAGTAGGAGTGAACAGTGGGTGGCTGCAGCAATGAAAGCCAACAGGATGCTGGGAAACATCAAAAAGGGCATCACCAGCAGAGATAAGGATACCATTGTCCCACTCTGCTCAGCACTGGTCAGGCCACACCTGCAATACTGGGTTCAGTTTTGGTTCTGCTGTACAAAAAGCTGTGGATGGACTGGAGGGGGTCCAGAGAAGGGCCACAGAGATGATCCAAGGAATGGGAAGCATGAGAGGAAAGGCTGAGAGAGTGGGACTGTTCAGCCTGGAGAGAAGGGAGCTCAGGGAGACCTTGTCACCATGATCCAGTGTTTAAATCATGGCTACAAAGAACATGGAGACTCCCTTTTCACAAGGAGTCCCATGGGAAAGACAAGGGGTGATGGGCACAAGTTACTGCTGGGGAGATTCCAACTGGACACAGGAGGAAAACGTTTCCCAGTGAGAACAAGCAGCCACTGGAATAATCTCCCCAGGGAAGTGGTGACTCCCCAGCATTGGACACTGTTAAGATTGGGCTGCACAGTGTGCTGGGCCATCCAGTGTAGGTCATGCTGTGCCTGGAAAGGTTGGACCAGATGATCTTGAGGTTCCTTCCAGGCTAGCATTCCATGATTCTATGGAATCCCCATGTTTGCACCTCCCCATCCCTGGCACTTTGCTGCCTGATACCGCTCCATCTTTCCTCTTGGAGAAAGCCTTTGTGCAGCTTTTCCCTCTTCAATCAGTAGTTCTGACACTGAGCAGGTAGCGGATGCTCCATCTGATCCCAAAGACTCCTAAAAGCCTTTTTAAGTTACGAATACCTTTGTGCATCAAGACACAGCTTACAAAGAGGGTTTTGCCAAGGGATACCTGCTTTGTGTGGAATTAGCTTCCAGCTGGGCTTGGTTTCCCAGCTGTTACATCCCCAGGACAGATGGTCCCTGTGGTGCCTAAGAGGTAACAAAGTGGAGTCTCGCTCCATTAAGCAGCTGTAGTCTGGGCTCAAACCCTCCAGCGCTCTAATAAAGCATTAAAAATTCATGGTATGGCAGCAACCCAAGAGTGATATTTGTTTTGCTAAAGCAAATCTTACACGTTCAGGAAAATGAAGATCATCAGCAAAAAAATAAGGCAGCAAATGCGTATTTTCTTCACAAGTAGCTTCTTGATGGCAGAACTTGCTTCAGTGACTGCCAGTTCCCCCTTTCCCATTCTGGCAGCTCTGGTTTCCTGCATCCATCACGGTTTTGCCCCAGTTCCCAGCCTGGCACCGCATCCTGTCCCGTGTAGCTGCGCTCAACACAGAGCTGGGCTGGGGAGAAAAGGCCAATGTTTTGCAGGCCTTTCCTTCCTATAAACCATTTATTCCATCTGACCTGCTACCTGGCTTCACCAAAGGGTGCAGAAGATCATTATAGGATCCCAGACTGGTTCAGGTTGGAAGGGAACTTAAAGCTCCTCCAGCTCCAACCCCTGCCACGGGCAGGGACCCCTTCCACTGGAGCAGCTTGCTCCAAGCCCCTGTGTCCAGCCTGGCCTTGAACACTGCCAGGGATGGGGCAGCCACAGCTTCTCTGGGCACCCTGTGCCAGCGCCTCAGCACCCTCACAGGGAAGAGCTTCTGCCTAAGAGCTCAGCTCAGTCTCCCCTCGGGCAGGTTCAAGCCATTCCCCTTGGCCTGTCCCTACAGGCCCTTGTCCCAAGCCCCTCTCCAGCTTTCCTGCAGCCCCTTCAGGCACTGGAGCTGCTCTAAGGTCTCCCCTTCAGGAGCCTTCTCTTCTCCAGGCTGCCCCAGCCCAGCTCTCTCAGCCTGGCTCCAGAGCAGAGCTGCTCCAGCCCCATCCCTGGCAGTGCTCAAGGCCAGGTTGGACACAAGGGCTTGGAGCAAGCTGCTCCAGTGGAAACGGTCCCTGCCCATGATAGGTTGGACCTGGAGGAGCTTCAAGCTCCCCTCAACCCAAACCAGGCTGGGATTCTATGATCCAGATTCATTACTTCCGTCACGACCTGTTCCTTGGGGATGTCCTGCTGCTGTAGCTGCTGTTCTGGCTCAGCCACATCATTTACCAATGCCAGGCACTGTGTTCTTTTGGTGTGGGTGGCTACCTCAACCTTGGGCCAATATACTTGTTATCTGTGACCTCTTCCTTTGCTTCATCAGCGCTGGTATCATCACTTCTTTCATCTCTACACCCACGTATTTGCTTTGCTTTGCAGCAAAATCCCATCCCTGTCTCTGATGAGGAACTTGCATCTTGGTGTAAATATACCCCATTTTGTAAAGCCAGGTCAAGCTGCTGCAGGGGCAGATGTGGAGGGGGGCAAAGGGAGCATAAGGACATCAGCATCTCCCATCCTGCCAGGGCAAATCCCACCCAATGGGTGCTGTAAAACTCTACAGCCATCCCCAACTGACCAAGAAGAGAGGCTGGGACACAAGCTACAAGAGCAAATACTTATTCATAGGGGGACATGAGGTGTCCCAGCCAAATTGGAGCACCCTGGTGGGGTTTTACGTGGTGTTCTTGCACCTTTCAAGCATCCGGGTTCAATGTGATTCGACTGACCACTAATACCCATGCACACCTTGGTTATTAAGCATAGTAAATACAAAAGCATTCCAGTTTTGCAGCGTTTTTCCTGCCTTTCTAGTGATGCAGACGTCCCCGGAGCCAGCCTTGCTGCAGTTACTCATCTACGACAGCAGATGATGCTGGGAGGGTTTCAAAGCCGGGTCAGAGGGGCTGGGATGCTGCGTTATCTCATTGTCCTGGCTATCCTTTAGCCCTCATGGTCAGCTCTAAGCTTCCAAGAAGCAAAGTCCTTATTTCCAGGGCCAAACTGTCCTTTAGTTTGTTTTACATAAGCATGAACAATGCCAAAGTCTCCAGTAGAATTCCACTACCACACCAGAGTGTCTAATGTGAGCTAATACCTATAGATAAAGCAAGCTAATGCACTTTCATGCTATAAAGACTGGTTGATGTAACAGGGAAAGACGTTTGCATAACCCAGGAGAGCTGTGGAATATCCCCCTTAGATCAGCTCCTTTCATCCCCTGGGCTGCTTTGTAAGCCAGTCATTGTGAGGATGTGTTGAATGTCACTTTCTGCTACAAAGGGCATTATCTGTGTTGTTTGAGATTGTTAGTATTAATATCATTGCTTAAAACTGTATTATCCAAGATGAATTCCTGCTGCCTGCTGCACACAGTGCGTGGTGGAGACCCTCTGTAAGCAGCTTGCTGATGCTCAGGGTGATATTCTGAGCTCTTCCTATGTAGTTATGGAGGTTAAACTGTGTTCTTTCACCAGATGCTCTCCATCTCCCCTGACAGCCCTTGCTTTCTTTCCACTGGATTTCAACTCAATACAATCATGCTTGAGAGTGGCTATTTCACTTCTCTTGGAGAACACTCAATCCTAAGCATCACTCAGCAACTCCAAGGCTTGTTGCAGTCTCCTGCTCCTTGTCTTCAGAGAGAGAAAGGTACCAGCACCTTTGTTACCCTTCCTCCAAGCACCTTGAAAGTGCTGCTGCCAGAGCACCTGAGGGAGAAAAGGAGATGGTTTGCCATAAGGGTAGGGAAATTAGCATCAGGAATAATGGCCAGATCCATAGGACTGCATGGGTAGTTCCCATAGAGAAATTCTCCCTATGGAAAAAAGACTTGAGAAGTGGCAACTGCTAGCTGAGAGAAGGAGACTGTATTGGAACAGGGCATGGAGCACAGTACAGTTTAATGTAATCACTAGGAGCCAGTGATTTTGGTTGGACTGCCCTGGAGCTCTCTCAAGGGGATATGTTTTAAAGCAGAAATCGTTGCTGTTGGCTGGGGATTTGAATAGTACATCAAGAGATACAATATAAAAGCATCTAATGCACGGGAGAAGGAAGGGGAAGGGCTGTACATTGCAGAAAGGGCATCACTGAGTTTTCAGAAGTGATGTAATGTGGGCTGGGAAGGTGACAGAGCTGGGAAAGGCCTGGAAGGCAACCTGTTATACAGATGTGACTGTGCTGCAGGGATGCCTTCCCTAGCTCACAGGATCCCAAAGCGCTTTGGGTTGGAAGGGACCCTAAACCCCATCCAGCTCCAACCCCTGCCATGGGCAGGGACCCCTTCCACTGGAGCAGCTTGCTCCAAGCCCCTGTGTCCAACCTGGCCTTGAACACTGCCAGGGATGGGGCAGCCACAGCTTCTCTGGGCACCCTGTGCCAGCGCCTCAGCACCCTCACAGGGAAGAGCTTCTGCCTAAGAGCTCAGCTCAGTCTCCCCTCGGGC